CAGAATCCATTTTGTTAGGATAATTAATTTTTTTTTACATGCTATGATTTGAACACAAATTGTCTCCCAGGGTATAAAAATAGGGTTCCATGCTTAACTATGGGAAGTTGTGCTTGTGTTTCCTAGCATACACTGATCACTAGATTGGCCCCAAGAAGGAGTCCTGACTCCTAGCCATGGTGTCACAAGAGACCAAAGAGGCATCAATTGATTTCAGCCTCAACTATAGGCCAGATAGAGCCCCAGTTGGCGTGTGCATTGAAGTGCATGGAGCTATGCTGATGTAGAACAACTGTTTCTATGTGTGTCTGAGTAAATTGAAAATTCTGTTCTTGCACTGAAGTCAGTGGAGTTACTCCACATTTACACCATTGTGAGTAGAGTTTGGCTCTAAACATCCAATTGCAGAACAATGGTTCTGATTCTCTACAGCCATGTACCTCATGTAGTAATTTAAAGCTATGCAAAGCATAGGCGTCGACCCCGTGGGTGCTCCGGGGCTGGAGCACCCATGGGGAAAAATTGGTGGGTGCTCTGCACCCACTGGCAGCTCCCCAACCAATCCCCCACCCCAGCTCACCTCTGCCTCCGCTCCGCCTCTGCCTCCTCCCCTGAGCGCGCCGCCGCATCCTGCTTCTCCCCCCTCCCTCCCAGTGCTTGCGCCATGAAACAGCTGTTTTGCGTGGCAAGCGCTGGGAGGGAGGGGGAAGGAGGAGGAACGCGGCACGCTCAGGGAAGAGGCGGGGCCGGGGCGGGGATTTGGGGAGGGGTCCAATAGGGGCAGGGAGGGGGTGGAGTCGGGGTGGGGCCGGGGCGGGGGGAGCGCAAGCACCCACTGGTGCCAAGGAAAGTTGGCGCCTGTGATGCAAAGCAGCTGTAAAACACTGCCCCAGTTAGAATTTATACGTGGATGGCAGATTTTACATCCACTTCACACTCCCTAGGTCCGATTCACCACTATGTCCTTCCACTTTTAGACAGGTGTAATTCCATTGAATTCAATGGAATGATAGCGTCTTAAAACTGAAGTAATGTAGTGGTGCATCTGGTCCACTTTGTACCAGTACAAATCACTGCATAAGTGGAGAATCAGACCGTAGGGTATCAAACACAGGACTGGCCCTAGTAACCAATAATATCAGAAGTTGCATGGGGCACCTACAGGGAAGGGGGCAAACAGAAATGCCAACTCGGTCACTTCTGAGCACAGCGTAGAACATGATAGATTGACTAGAACTATATGTACAACAGTAGCAGGATGCCCAATTTGACGTACTGTAGATATCTTGTTGAAATATCTAAACAAGCCTAAAGTATATTTATCTAAAACATTTAACCGGTTTGAGCCAACACAAAAACTACATGGCATTTGCCTTCTCCACATACAGATGTATTGACATTAATTACAGATACTGGCACAGAGTAAATTAATGTCCTATGGGCAGGAAGTCCAGGTTTTTTTCTTTTCTTTATTCCATTTTCCAGGGCTTCTGAACCATGAAGAGGTAAACAACTTATTACTGACTCTTCAGATATGATTTCATCAGACATCCTGGATGTCTCGATAGGGATCATATACCGTGCGTGGTATAATAGAAAGGCTAGCATGTTGACCTTATGACTAACGCTTGCGCATTTGGCCACCATCTGGAATTCAGTCCAAAAATCTATTAGAATAAAGTTTGAAAGTGTTATTCGGTTTTGTTCATTTTAGTATAATAAAATATTCCATTAGGAACCTGTATTCTTAACATTACATGGGACTGTTGTTAAAAAACAGTTGTACTAACAGCACTTAATGGAATGTAAAAGGGAGCCGAGGTGCAATGCAGTAGCATGCAGAGTGTTATAATTGAAAGCATTATGATTAGGGAGAATGTGTTTCCATTTATAATTGCAAGCAGAGATTTTGAAAAAAGCCTAAGATGGGGTGGACAACCTGATCCTGAGAAGGAGCCAGAATTTATCAAAGTACATTGCCAAAGAGCCACAGTAACACATCAGCAGCCCCCCGTCAGCTCCCCACCCCCACCCCCAGTGTCTCCCACCCACCAGCAGCACCGCTGATCAGCACCTAACCCTCCATCCCTGCACCTCCCGCCCACCGCAATCAGCTGTTTTGTGGTGTGCAGGAGGCTGGGGGGGGGGCGGGGAGAAGGAAGAGGAGCAAGGGCACAGCAGACTCAGGGAAGGGGCAGGGGCCTTGGGGGAAGGAGTGGAGTGGGGCTGGGGCATGGGGCAAAGCCAGGCGTTGAGCAGTGAGCACCCTGTAGCACACTGGAAAGTTGGCGCCTGTAGCTCCAGCCCCGGGGTTGGCGCCTATGCAAGGAGCCGCATATTAACCTCTGAAGAGCTTCATGTGGCTCTGGAGCCACAGGTTGCCCACCCCTGGCCTAAGAGAATTAGATGCCCATTTCCCACTGAAATTCAGCCCCTAACTTCCTTAGACTCCTTTGACTATCTCAGCTGTAAGAAATTATAGCTACTTAATATCCCAGTTGGTCAGGCAGAAGGGCTCCAGACTGGCCTGTGAGAGGTCACCAGTTTGAGTCCCACCAGACATGCTGGAGATGATACTTTCCCATTCTCCTGGAAATTTCCTCTCTCCTACAATTTACCTGTCTTATCTCCACTTCCATATATCCTCATCTGCATGATTTTCCTCCAGCCACCTGCAAGCTAGACACACAGTTGTGACTTCTCCTCTCCCCCTACACACATCAGACATGTGATCTTTCAGCTATCCCCCACACACACTCTCTTTCTTTGGTGCAATAGTCCTCCCACCCCATCCCACACAATGAACACACAAACACAGGCATGCACATGGAAAGAGTGGGTACATGCACATGGTGCTGACTCCTGACTCGGTCTGCCAGCTCCATTCTTACAAACTAGCAGGAGATTGAAAATGATAAGAATCAAGCTCTAATATGCTCTCAGAGCAGGAATATCATCAAGTACACTCCTCTGTGGGCTCAGAAAAACAGAGCAAACAGATACTACAGATAACTGTTGCAATGTTTATGTTATACCTGACAGGTGTATAACCATATTGGTGATCCTGACCAACACAATGTATTGGACTGCATGTTGGCTTTTGCCCAGTTCATCAGGGTTTAAAGAATGCCAAAGCCCTAAATTTGAAGATTGATGGGTTTTTCCCCTAAATAAAAGGAGTAAATTTTAAAATGGAAGATTTAAAAGGCATAAAGCAAGAGTCCAGAAATGTTGGCATTGTCTCTTTAAATATAAATTAATTCACATTTTTAAAATGATAAATTATTAATATCGGAGGTAACAATTGTGGAAAGGATTTGCAGGTCCACATCTGTGATCAGTACATTAACAGGTCTTGACAGATTTCTATTAACACAGAACATACACATACAGGGCCACAGTCAACACTCTGTTACACCACTTTTAGCTGTTGTAATTCCAATGATGTGAATGGAGTTAAGCTGGAGCAAAATTGGAGTAACACATTTGAGATTGAATCCCGCAAACATGATCACCCTGATTCTCCTTTCCCTTAAACTGGTGTTAGGCTGCTTGAGTTCAGTGGAATTACTCCCGATTCAGACTGGAGCACGTGAGAGCAGATTCAGACCCATAACTGACAATGGGATGACTCAGCAGTGTATGGATGTGATTCTAGTTCAGCAGACTGCCAAAGTAAAAATGTGGGGTCCAGATTTTCACAGTAACTCATCTCTGAATTTGGATCCAGCATCTAAAACAAAATGGAGGGAAATCTTGTGAAGACAATTAATTTCTCTGGTTTTCACCTCAACCCTCTCAGGATTCCCTCTTACCATTGTCGTATGATGAGTTGAGAATCCACAGGCCCCCCAACAATCACGCAAGTGTTTCTGGGGTCTGAACTTCCAGTGGGTGGTGAGAGCAGTGTGGAGTGGACTGCAGTGTTTCTCACCACCCATGTCAATATGAAGGTCGGGTCAGGTTCCACCCTCAGTTAGACCCTTGTGAAATTACAGGGACAGTGGCCTGAATTTTCAGGACACAGAGAGGCAGCTGGGGAAGCGCCCAACTAATACCCCTCAATAGTCCACAATGGGGGTGGGGGCCCCATGGACTTCCTCCCACAAGACAACAATCCTGAGTTGAGAATTAAGGTGGAAATGGGGCACTGGGAAAAGAGTTTTGGGCAGAACTGAAGGTATAACCTAGCAGGGACAGAGCCTAATTTCTACTTTCAAACCTTGGCAGTAGAAATCAGCCTTCGATGGGCTCTGGAAGCCTGGAAGATAAACCCAGAGCCACACAACTGGAAAATCTGAAGAGTGTTTGGATCCAGAGTGCAGGGTTTGGACCAATCTTTAATATAATCAGGATAAAGCATGGATAAAAACAGCTCAAATCTCCCCAGGAAGATGCATAATGCTTGTTGTCTATGCAGCATGGAGAAATTCTCACTGTACGTGCTCACATAGTACCTGTCCTTTAGGACTACAGGTCGCTTCGTATCACAAAAAGAATATCCACATCATGAGGCACCAAATTGTTTCTAAAGCAAGGAGGGTCCCCCATGCTGAAATGTTGCATCCTCTTGAGGACTAAGGAAGAACTGGTTTTCACCAGAGAGGAAACTGGTATCATTTACAGAAACTAGAAACATATAAGGTGACCTGCCTGTCATTCAAAAAACCACCAAGTGACTCAAAAGATCTTTGACTATTTTTTCAGGATCTGCTGTTAATGGGACAGGAATTGTTCTACTGTCATTCATGTTATGTTCCTTTATTAGCCAGAACCTTTAGAAAAATAATACTCCTCCCAAAATGCAAACAAGCTTGGTCAGTCCCTGAGAAAAAAAGAGCATCCTCTGTTTATCCCCCAAACCTCACCTTCTCAGTCCCTGTGAAACAATCTGGGAGCAAAGCCAAAGTTTCCTGCTATATAAGACCCAGACAGTGCAGGTGAACTATTTCTCCTGACCAACATCTGACTCAGTATCCTTGTGCCAAACTCCACGCAGGATGGGGTTTGGTCAGGGGATACGGGTGTCCGTATGGGCCTTTATGTTAGGTGTCTGCTGTGCCCAAAAACAAGGTAAGAACTCATTCACATTTCATTTTGCTCTGAGAAAAGAAAAGAAAAAGTCTAATTTAATTAGCTCTATATGGATATAGTTTAAACAGTTTTATTTCTTTTACTTTGCAAACCTTCTAAATGGTTGCATTTAAATGAGCTTTCTTTGTGTCTTTTTATTCTTGTACCAATTCCATTAAATAGTTAATGTTTGTGTATTAACTGGACTGATTTAATTTCATCTTGCCTCAAGCCAGTACAATTAACAACATTTGGATGAAGATAGCTTTGAAGATCAAAACAAAATAATAACTATCCATCTCTTGAAATGTCATGATTTCACTATCAGTTTAAAATGTTTTAAAACATTTTATTTTTGGTGAGTTTTCCACTAGGATTGTTGTTAAATCCTACATTTTTATGTAATCATAAATGTAAAAATTACCCTATACTTGATCAGACCCCCATGGTTCATCAATTCCAGTATCCTGTTAATCACACTCTGCAGTACCAGATGCTTCAGAGGAGGGTGCAAGAAACCCTGCAATAGACAGTCATGGGGTAACCTGCACCCAAAGAAAGTTTTCCTCCTCACTCACAATTGTTAGAGGTGGTCTCAAGCTCTGAAACATGAGGGCTTATATCCTTTTCAAATTATTTGTCTGTTAGTATCTGTTATTAATAACTCTAGTTATTCTTGTGATCCATATAAGCTCTTGGATTCAGCGATATTGTGATAATGAGTTCCCCCGCCTACCTGCGTGTTGTTGAATTTGCCACTTTTCATCTGAGTTTCAAATTTGCCACTTATATTTGCCAATTTATATTGATTCTTCCCTTGGTTTTTTGTATAATCAGACAGGGTGAACTGAAGTACCTGATCTGTCTTCTCTATGTCATTCATCATTTTGTATGCTTTGTTATTATGATAATGTTACATTAATTAGAACTAATCCCAAAAGCCCTTACTCATGTGAGTAGTCCTATTAAATGTAAAGATTACTTGCATGAGTAAGGGCTTGCAGAATTGCTCCTATTCGTGTATCATAATTGTTGCCACTTCTTGAGAAATGTTCCCATAATCCTTTGTGCTAATGTAAATTTTCTCTTTCTTGTTCACCATTCTCTAAACACTGTCAATTGTAAATATAATGATTTTCAGTGAATTTTGTTCTTCATAAAAGTAAGGGCAGGCAGCATATTGAATCAGGCATAAAATGGAGCAAGCAAGAATTGTACAAGCTTTTATTTAGAGTTCTGCACCTCAGCACTGATCCTTTGCTATTCTGGCTCAGGGCCTCTTCTGGGCAGAAAAAGTTATTTCTACTGGATAATGATAACCTGACAGGTGGTTTTGTGATATGGACAGGTGAAGACTAGACTGAGGCCACCAAATTCCTTTTCTCTTGCATCCTACTGTTATGCAAGTGTCTCTTTCTCACATTCTCTGAGTAGAATGACTACAAAATAAGCATGCAATCCTGCTTGGTTAGAAAATTTTAAGGCGGGTGGATTCCTCCCACTACCACCACCCATAAACTTTCTATACTGATTTTTTTTCTTATTTGTCTGCAGCATTTATTACTAATACTCCATCTGGAACAGTGAACTTCATCCCGCCATTGACAACAAGCCCAGTAATAACATGTAAGTTAAGCAAATAGTCTCAAAAATTCCTCCATCTTTCTGAAGTACTGATCAGAAAGTTAAAATAAACAGGGAAACAGACTGATTAATCAAAAAAAATGGGTAGATCAGTGGTGTAAGGAACAAATAGCTGGATAAACATGATATGATGGCAAAACAATGAGTTGATTGATAGGTAGATAGATGGGCGAACATATGATAAATAAGTAGAAACCCAGAAATATAGATAGGGTGGTACATTATAAATGGCAGACAGAAGATGGGTGGAGGAATAGAGATGAGTTAAATAAGTAGGTGGATAGATGAACAATTTGATTATGTATAGTGTCACAATTGATAAATGGACAGAAAATAAATGGAAGGGGACAGAGCAATGAATAAACTAAGGAAATGAAGGCTTGGGCAGACTGATATAATAATATTCACATTAAGTCAGGGAATTTCCAGTAAATTCTTACAAAGAATTTTCAATCCACAGCCTTCAACCCTGCTCACAATGGCCGCGTATGCAGTACGTGGGGCAATTTCCACTTCAAGACTTTTGATGGGGACATCTTTTACTTCCCTGGGCTCTGCAATTACGTCTTTGCATCCCACTGCAATGCTGCCTATGAGGATTTCAACATCCAAATCAGGCGCACTGTGGTGGAAAATGCTCCTACTATCAACCATATCACCATGAAGCTCGATGGGGTGGTTTTTGAAATGGCAAAGAACTTTGTTGTTGTCAATGGCAACAGGTAGGTTTAGACATATCACTGTGTGTGCTGAACATAACTGTTTCCTCAAACCAGGCATATATTTCAGCACTTTCTTGGAAAAACTTCTATGCATTTTGATAAACCATGTAACTTTAACCATACACCCATCTCGCCATTCTTCTGTTAAGATGTCACGCTATAAAGATGGGCCCAAACCAGAACGCCAGATCAAAATACCCCTGAACTTTGAGGAAGCTTGAATCCAGATCCAGATCCATATTTTTTGTGGCTTGGGCCCATCTTTTCTTTAAACTGCTTTTTCTTCCACAATACTGCATTGTCGAAGAACCCACATGGACACCTGATAACACAAGCAACCTTTTCTTCTTATTCTGCATGGCATAGCAAATACTTAGCATCTCTGATGCTTTTTTTCTCCAGGGTTCAGCTGCCTTACAGCCAGTCTGGAATCATGGTTGGGAGAAGCAGCATGTATATAAAAGTGACTGCCAAAATGGGCCTGGTTTTCATGTGGAATGAAGATGACAGCATCCTGGTAAGAATAAATTCTAGATGCTTCAGAGAATAGGAAACAGGCTATTAAAACATTTAGACTCAAATTTTTGACTGGCTTAAGAATTTGTTTGGGCACCCATTTGCACGCCCTGATTTCACACTTGTGCACACAAACAGCCATGGCATATGCAAATCAAGTAGGTAAAGGTGTACAAAAGAGAAACTGCCTAAATATTTGACCATAAGCCTAAATCTTGAGAGGTAGTATGAAGATATATGGTTAGTCCCTGGATATACTTGCCCCCAGCAGTTTGGGAGCTGCTGTTTCCCCTTGCTGATTATTTCTCCCATTACAGAGCTATGATTGCATTCATGCATTCCTGAAGAAAGCAACTATGCTGTGTTCCTAGTGGAAATCATGCCTCCCACTTAAAATGGGAAAAAGCACTTCCCTCACTTCATTAACATAATAGCATCATTACATCAGGTGCCACTCACCTCCTCACATTTTATTTTCCAGTAGAATTCCACTGTCATAGGACTTCAGTGTCACAGTGGATTTGATTTTCTTTCTGAAGAAAAAAATAGATAGTAAAAAGGCTGATTATAATACAGATATTGCAGTGAAAACTAGTTCTGCATAAATAACTTGGATTCGATGAATCAGAAATCATATCCAAACCTCATCCATATTCTATCAGCCAGGTTTGAATTGGTCTGCTAAAACATCTACACAACACTGATGAAAATTATGTAGGTGTAGCAGGCACAGCTGCTTGCACCGATTTTGAATACATTGTGGAGTGTATCAGAGGGGTAGCCGTGTTAGTCTGAATCTGTAAAAAGCAACAGAGGGTCCTGTGGCACCTTTAAGACTAACAGAAGTATTGGGAGCATAAGCTTTCGTGGGTAAGAACCTCACTTCTTCAGATGCAAGTAATGGAAATCTCCAGAGGCAGGTATAAATCAGTATGGAGATAACGAGGTTAGTTCAGTCAGGGAGGGTGA